CACACACACACACACACACACACACACACACACACGTACACATACATTACCTGATTAACAGTTTTCTAAACACTTAAAACACTAACCATATACAACTTCCGCAAAAAGGCGAGAAGACTAAAAAGGGATGACTGCTGGTTGTCAGACTCTTTTTTGACTTTCTATCAAACATCAAACAGGTCTCGTTGGTATAATGTCACAGCCATGTGATCAAAATTCCAGTAATAAATATCATCTTTGAAATGGGTAATCTGTCCGTCAAAAGGTAAACATGACATTCATACAAAATAAATGAAAATACAACAATGTTTAAATGGTCACAGAGTTAAAAATAAAAAAAACATAAATAAATAAATAAAGACCATGAAACCAAAAGGACGTTTTCACTTCTACGCTGAACCTACAAACACAGATTCTCTGGATGATGTTTTCTTAAATCTCTAAATGACAGTATACCCTGTGTGACCTTGTGATGTTACTTTGATGTTTCAAACAGCCAAACATTGATAGCAATTCTGTCTCACCGGGCACTGTGGTACCATCTTCATCACTGTGACTCTTGGAGGCAGCAGTCCTGGCTGAAGCATCAGAGAGGTTCATCATCTTCACAGTGATCTCTGATGCATTTTCATAGATGGCCATATTTCACTCAGAGTGTGATGGATGTCTTACTGATGGTTTCTGTGATCTGCTTCTTCTTTTGTATGTTGCATAAACTGCAAAGCACTCATGTACTTCCTCATTTTAAAGTAAATGTTTTTCCTGTCTTGAGTAAAACAACTTCATCATACAGAGGTTATTACTGCTTCAGTGATGACGTGTTATTTCAACTCAACCCTCTCACATCTGCACCAGAGCTGGAAATATCTCAGTACATCACAATTAGACGACATTTTCTAAGTTTTGAGATTCATACTATCTCTTACTGTACGACTATACTCACAATAAACATTATCATCAATATCCATCATAAAAAAGTTCCTTTTTCTGAATCTAAATCCTGAACAAATAAGCTCTGTACTACACCCAGTAATGTCTGCAGAACAGATTTAAGTATGCCATCCAATTACACTACTATCCAAGAAAGACCTCATATTTTACATTTCATTTAAAAACAAGCCCACCCACACTGTTTTTATCATTGTTGGCATTATTGTTGCAAATGTTAAACCAGTATAACAACACTTACTCAACATTTAGACAATAGACATTAAAAGAGAAGTAAGAACATGTGGTCACCAGAGGTCAGTGAATGTACCAACATACACTTCCTCCTGCACGGTGAGAACTGCTCTTCACTTAAAGGAAGGACTGTTTCTTCAAGTTAAATGTTGAGAGTTAAACCTGAATTTCTTACATGATGAACAAAAAAAAGCAGACACCTTAAAGATGGAGTGAGAAGCTTGTCACCAGTGGAGGGGTGGGTTATTCATAGCAGAGGCACCAATTCTCTTTTGAAAACACCCTAAAAGGAAACACTCACATTCCTTTCATGAGAACATGGCTGCATATAGTGTCAAGATACACTGTTGCCAACCCATTTCCCAGATCTGATCCTGTCTGACACCCGACTGTTGCGGAAATTCTCTGCTGCTGGTGAATAATGAAATAGAGACTTCTGCCGGCCGACAAGGTTTTTTATTTTCTTTGCAAAGAAAAGGTCAGTCATCACACGAGCGGTCAGAATGACGAAAAAGAACCCCGAACATAGGAAAGCCTAAACATTTATACCTGAGGAACGCCTCTTACGGTGTGTTTCACACCCTTCTGTCTGCGGCAGGGAGCAGTGCCCCTACCCATTGTTTTCAAACTCTTTTGTCTGCCGCAGCTATTGGCTCCGACCCCCTAGGGTGTGTTTCACACCTGGCGTATCCTGCAGGATTTTGTATCTAGGTGTGAGGTTAAGAGGTCTAGACATTCTGAAGTATTTGAAAACACAAAGAATACACAAAGAAAATGAAATTACAATTACAGGACACAGCAGACATTAATACAGCAATGAATCAAAGCATGCACAACGTACAGCATGTTTCATTATTCTCTGCAGCCAAAGCAGTGAACCTAGAAGAACAGTTGTTTCTATGTATATTAATGGGCCACTTTTAGTCATGAGCAGGTTTTAAATCTGTTTTTTTACACCTGAAAAATAATGTGTGTGTCCACATGAGAATATTCAGGTTGCTTCAAAGATCAAAGTTCACACTGAAACTCCAAAATAACAGGAAAACAGTGAAATCTCCTCAAATGTTCAGCTGAAATTGAGAAATGCACTGATTGTCCTGAGTTTGATGGGCGTGGATGCAGAGTTATGGAAGGACTTTCTTTTCACAAATCCATAAGTGTAAAAGGGAACACTTTCCATCATTCCAGCTGCTTTCCTTATCATGATACTTTATTTCAGCACAGTCTTCATCTTCTTTATTGTTAGGCTCCCCAGAACCCCAGTAGCTGAAATAAAAGCAAAAACAAATAAACTTTTATCAGAGGACACAACAAGAAAAGCACAAGGCGTTAATTCAATTAGAATTTAAAATAGTGTGAACCTTTTGGTCACTGGAGTCCCATCCACCCATTTCCACACCCCCTCTGTCTCCGAGTCAGTCAGGCCAATCCACATGTACTTCTGGAATTGTCTTGTGAATTCCTTGTTTAAAAAAAAGACACAAATCGTTTACGTTACAGAAATGAAGCCAACTGGGGAAAGCTTTCCTGAGGTGCCGAATGTACCAGGTCCGGCACTGTACACACACACACACACACACCCTCACCTGTTCTTCTTTGCTGTTGATAATCACCAGGTCTGCACCTTTTCGACGACAGTCATCTCTACTGTCTGCCCAGGTTTTCTCAGTAGAAGAAATGTTGTAGAAACTACCTCTGAAATACATCCATCCTTCCGAAGCTTAGTGGAAAAAAGAAAGATTAATTTACATCTAAAAACAAGAATTTACAGATGGCACTGCTACAAAACAAAGAGCCAAGGTGGTATCACTGATAAACCTGTATGTCTGCTGTATTATATGAAGGCTCACAGGCTGTAAATTGCAGCAAGGGTCTGATTTTATCATCGTACTTACCAAAGTCATGCAGATTCTTCTTCAGTTCCTCTCTCTCCTCAGTCAGGTTTTTGCAACTGGCCTCAATACCTGAAACAGAATTCCCATCATATATCGTGTTAATCTATCAATGACAGTGTTCCTTTTCCTAATCTGTAAGTGTATAATTAGCGTTCTTGTAATTGTAACAGTGATCACTGGTGATCCTATAAATGGATTGTGACTGAATCTCATCATCTCTACATGTGTTAGTTTAGCACAAATTCTCTTTCTATAACAAATGGTAGGAGTATCAAAAACTCCACTGTCAATGAATGTCACTGACTGGCTGCATCACCACCTAGTATGACAATGCACTGCCCTCATTCGTAAAGCTCTACAGAGGGTGGTGCTCAGTACTTTCCAAAAACATGCATTTTCACTAAAACCTTACTGTTTAAAACTGAACTGAAAGTGAAATGTGTCTATGCTCTCTTCAAAGACAGACTCCAAAATTGAAGGTTTTTTATTCTTAGTGAAATTGTATGTTTGGAAAGTTCTGAGCATACGACTGGATAAATGAGACTTGGATTATACTGCACGCTTTGTGTGAGAGTTTGTAAATGGATGTTTTCATATAGTTTTTCTGTTATTAAACCCGAACTCAAGGTAACATGGCTTGACTTATTTACAAACAGTCATTCTGTGGGCAAAGTATTCTTTTACGCCAGCAATGCAATTAAGCTCACAGACATCAAGCAATGCTGTTCAGCTCCAGCAATATATAAAGCATCACAGCTCAGCGTCAGCTTTTCAGCAGCCAGCAGTCGCCCACAGTTTCCTTAGAAATATCATCTCTGCTTACCTTCAAGCTTTCTCTGAAGATCACCATTTTTTTTAGCCAGCTTGTTGTAACTGGTCTGTAACTGGTTATTCTTTTTAGTCAGGTTGGTGCAACTGGTCTGTAACTGGTCTCTTTCTTTGGTCAAGTTGCTGCAACTGGTCTGTAACCAGTCTCTTTCTTTAATCAGGTTGTCGTAACTGGTCTGTAACTGGTCTCTTTCTTTAATCAGGTTGTTGTTGTAACTGGTCTGTAACTGGTCTGTCTTTGATTCCCACTCAGAGTTGTGTCTGGTAACTGTCTTTGATGTATAAACAAACAAATTAACACTAGAAACAGACAGTATGAGTCCAGTCAGAGAGACAAAACACACTAGAAACACTGCAGTATCTCTGCAGCAACTGTTCCCCACTTCTTCAAGACCTGAGGGTGAAATACAAAATTGTCACACAGGTAAATGTTTAGTCCAAAGCTCAAAACAGCCAGTCTGTAAACACACAGAAACACACACATACTCATTTTTCTCCCTTTTGCCCAACTGTGGGGTCCATACACACACACACACACACACACACACACACACACGCACACACAAGCACAACCAGATGTTACTATGATTTATTATTTTCTGGAGATGAAACCATAACCTCAATCTAAGTATTGCCCAATACTTCATAGAACAAAGCAGACCACTTTACTAAAGTCCCTGCTATAATAATATTACTGTACTTCAAGTTTCTAAACATTTGATTACTGTGCAGGATTTTTTTTATTTTTTTTTTTACAACAGACAATTGTCTATAGTAAGTTCATTTTTTCATTTTTTTTTTAACGGATACAACCAAAACACACACCTCAAGTTCTTTGGATCAGAACACTAATGACATTTTTCTCCCAGCAGAATCACTTTGTTACTTAAGGGTCAAAGAAAAAATCTCTTTAAAAGAAGGCACTTCTTTATTGCACAGATTGTGACTGAACAATCACTGTGTAAATCACTGTGTCACTGAAATGAATAAAAAAAATGCTACAGTGGGCTTTTTGTTTCGTATTGCAGCATTTTCTTTGTTTCCATTTTTGCAGCATGATTCCAAGTGCACAAAATGTAACTAAAGCTATTTTCATAATGCAGTACAATGCACAAATAGTCAATACAAAAATATTTTTAAAATTAAAATTACATACACAACACTTAACACTGGGGTGTTGAATTTCTTAGGTTTGCATTATCTTTTTCCTATTCAAATTTCAAAGGTAAAATATAGTTATCCATAAAGACGTGAAAATTACGGTGGTCCAAGCTAAATCAACCAGCACTGACCACCAAAACCCACGGGAACAAATATCCACCAAATAAAACCAATGCATCACTTATGACATAAAACTTCAGTTCAGTGTACCAGATATGATTAACATTAATGCTAACGTTGTTACTCGTGTTGCTTTTTAAAACTGAACCTCAAAACGATAGGATTTCTGTCTCACCAGGCACTGCAGCAGGCATGTCATTGTCTTCAACAAAGTGGATCTTTGATGCAGCATTCTCTGCTGAGGCATCATGGAGGTTTTCATTAACCACTGAGATCTCAGATTCCTCTTCAAGGACAATCATCTCCATATTTTAGCCACTAGAGAGTGATGAAGGTGTTGGTCAAAGGGTTTTCTTCAAATGATGCCCTTCTCTGATCTGATTTCTCTTATATGTTTGTCTGCTTACGCAACAACACCAGCTGCCACCCTCTTCTTCCTCATTTTTCAGATGTCATCTTTCTATCTCATCCCCCACTAAAAGCTCTGATGGCTCCAGTTGTAACATGGGCAGGTCCTGGAAAATCTCCATCCTCCAGGGAGGCTTTCCTCTGCCTTATTATTTCAGTTATATTTCCATGACACAAACTGCATGATTATGTTAGTGTGTCTACTTTCATCACACACCCACAAAAAAAGCAAAACAATGCAAGTCAGTTCAACACCATAAACAATGTCCTCTAAAGTTAATGGAAATCTTACATACTTTTCTTTCTCCCTTTGACATTCTTGTTACAGAGCCACTATATAATCTGAGATTTCAAGAATTAAGTCATAATATCACAAGAAAAAGCTGTAATATTTCAAGAAACAAGTCATAATAGAATGGGTTACTTCAAGTGTAAAATGCCATATGTCATGGAGGTGGATTGGCTCATATGTTCTGGGAAGCCCTGATAGTTTATAGGCTGCGTAACCTAGAGTTAGGATGTAAAAAGTCTGGACTGTGGTGTGACACCTTTCCTCTGACCAGCAGCTTTGATCCACACAGAAGTATGGTTAATGTCTGATCAAAAATGTTTTCAGGCAGTTAGTTTCAGTTCTCCAACAGGACAGACCTCAAGGATGAGGGCTGGTGGTTGGTTTGCCAAATCTACATCTTATTAGTGTAACTTACCATCTCCAATAAAGAACAGACACTTCTGGGATACTCACCATATTAGCAGAGACATAGCATCATGTGCAGGTAGATTTACAGTAGGTTGCCCTGCAAGTTATTCACACAAAGTACACTGAACTTTAATCACTTTTGGATGCCATGACCGAATTCTTGTCCCAGTTGTCCAGTGAAAACCAGGTTCCTGCTGAAATCAAGCTTCAGATCACATCTGGTTATTGACTGTAACATCTTTCTTTTTCTCTGACAATTAGAGAAATGGCTGTTTGGTGAAACCTGTAACTTCAACATCATTTATTATAACACTTAGAGACTGCTCCCATCTGTTTACCATGACAGTATTATAATCTCAGTCTTATGGTCTGCAACTGGTCTCTTTCTTTGGTCAAGTTATTGTAACTGGTCTGTAACTGGTCTGTCTTTGATTCCCACTAAGGGTTGTGTCTGGTAACCGTCACACACACACACACACACACACACATGTATACACATGAAAACACATGAAAAAGTGAGTCTCATTTTTTAATTTTACATTATCCTAACTGATTATCTGATTATTACATCGTTACACCACATTAGGCAACTTCAAATGTGTTATTTCTGATTATTTCTGATAAGTCAGCAGTATGAGTACAAAACCTTTACAGGAATCTTCTCTGTGAATATTTCTGTACTTTCCACACAGGCCTCATGGCTCAAGATCCTGTTCTTGTTTAGAATCATACATATCGGATTGATATATTTAACCGCATCTTCAAAACTAAAACAATCATACAAATATTATTTTTTTAAAAAGGCACTGCAGGCTTAAAAGCTAAGCTAAATCTAAAGAAAATGTCTGCATTTTTTATACTGACTAATAAAAATTCGTATCGTAGTTCATTTCATTTTGCTGCTTATCAGGTACTTTTGCACTATTGCCGAATGGTGTTACAGTCTATGCACTACAGCCTGGCTATTCTGGTTACACATTGCCAGTCTTAAAAACAGTTTTATTCATAATTGCAATTATGTTAAAGTGGCATATTGAAAATTTTAATGACGTCCTCATGACAACTCATGTGACTAACAAATTATTAACGACTGACAAGCAACTGATGTGAAAAATTAACTCAACCTTAACCTTTGCTTTTTTGTTGACAAAGTGAATTCCGTCAGACAGGCTACCAACAAGAGTTTTGATAAAGATCTGTCTGTTGCCCCAGCCTACTCTGCTGTGTTTGAGCACTTTGAATTGGTTTCTCTCCCCTCCCTCGCTGACATTGTGAAATATTTGACGCCTACTAACTGACGTTTGGATGTTGATCCTGCCAAAATGTTAAAAAGTGCTTTTAATACTGTTGGGCCTGGTCTTTTGGTATTTGTGAACACCTGCCTTAGTTTAGGAGCCGTCCCAGCTGCCTTTAAACACGCTAACACGTTATCAAATTTTAGACCTGTTTCTCATATGCCCTTTCTCTCTAAGGTTTTAGAGAAAGTTGTTTTTGTACAGTTACGGTCCTTTCTGGAAAACAACTCTGTTTTTGAAAAATTCCAATCTGGGTTCACTGAGTCTGCCTTGTTAAAGGTGCACAATGATATTGTACTGTCTGTTGATGCCAAGTGCCCTGTTGTCTTAGTTGTGCTAGATCTCACAGCAGCCTTTGATACAGTGGACCATACAGTCCTCCTGTCACACCTGAATCACTATGTTGGCTTTCACGGCACTGTACTTAAGTGGTTTACGTCTTATTTGTCCAATAGAACCTTTTCTGTAATGATTGGTGATTCCTGTTCCTCCAGTGCCTCTCTCTCATGTGGGGTTCCACAAGGTTCTATTCTTGGCCCTATTCTTTTTTCGTTATATATGTTACCACTTGTTTCTATTATAGCCAGGCACAATCTTTCTTTTCATTGTTACGCAGATGATCTGCAAATCTATCTGCCATTGAAGCCTAGAGGTACTGATGCACAAAGTTCCCTACTTGACTGTATTGCTGACATCAAGCAGTGGTTGGCCCAAAACTTTCTGCATTTAAATGAAGACAAAACAGAGTGCATTGTGTTTGTGGATACTGTGATGACTGGCTTTGGTGCCTTGTCTTCATCGTTCAGTCCTACTGTCAGAAATCTGGGAGTGATCTTTGACAGTTATTTGAAATTGGATGAACAAATTGACAATGTTGTAAAGACAAGCTTTTATCAGTTACGTCTCCTGGCCAAAGTAAAATCATTCTTGAGCTGTCACGACCTGGAGAGAGCTATCCATAGCTCCAGACTAGATTACTGCAATGCACTGTATGTTGGCATCTCCCAGTCTTCTCTTAGCCGCCTTCAACTTGTTCAAAATGCTGCTGCCCATCTGTTAACTAGCACTAGTAGATGAGAGCACATTACCCCAGTCCTCTATTCTCTCCATTGACTTCCTGTCCATTTTAGAGTTGATTTTAAACTTTTAATGTTTGTTTTTAAAGCTCTCAACGGCCTTGCCCCATCCTATTTGTCTGAGATTTTAACTGATCGTGAGCATGGCAGGGCTTTGAGATCATCCAACCAACTTTTGCTGGAAGTGCCCAGGTCTAAGTATAAACACTGGGGTGACCAAGCCTTTTCAGTTGCTGCACCCAGGCTCTGGAATAGGCTCCCCTGCGACATGCGTGCCATCTCTGACCTGGGCCTCTTTAAATCAAGACTTAAAACTTATTTATTCAGGATGGCCTTTAATACCCAGTAGTGTGGCAATACTTTTATTCTTTTTATTCTTTTATTCTTTTATTCTGTGTTTTAAATTGTATGTTATATTCTGTAAAGCACTTTGGTTCACCTGTGGGTTGTTGTAAAGGGCTATATAAATAAAGTACATTTACATTTACATTTAGTTTCACATGAGACATGGACACTGGTGTTCGGGGTCAAAGTCCTGTGCTTGTTGGACCCATCCAACTGTCTCACACCCTCTCTTAACAGACTTCCCTGCTAAAAATGACACCAATGAGTTTATTTGGAGTTGGTTGAAAGCCAAGTACATCTTCTACAGATGCTGCAGGGACACTGCCCAAGTGGCATATTTTGACCCCCAGAAAGTGAGACCAGGGTGTCCCTGAAGTGCCTTGGATCTTCTGAATTCTCTCCTTGACGAGGGAGATGGTGAGACACTGTTGAACCTCTTCATCCTTTCTAATGAGGAAAACAGCTTTTCTCTTACTCCTTCATTTTGATACCAGTGCAGCAGGACTATGTCACAAGCTCCACATTCCCTTTGTTTTTATTTTTATCAGGTGCACCTGAACTACAACTGACCCAGAACAATTACTGAACTAGGAGCTAATAATGTATCTGAAACTGACTTAACTGGCTCAAATCTGGAAACAACTGACAGCGTTTACAATTGAGGAAACTTATATATATATCAATATATCAAAAGGGGAAGTGAACCTTGTCACATTTAGGGAACGATTACTTTAAAAGGTTTTGGACATTTAAAGTAGTTTATTTGAAAAGGGTTCAAGTTTCACAATTTTTCACGTGTTTTACAGTACATTCTAAGTATTGCAGACTTGTGTATTTTTAAGCCTACTGTAAAATAAACTGAGTGCGCAGTACTCTTGTTGATTGAAAGGTAAAAATGCTGGCTCAGCATATATATTTACGTGTGTGTGTGTGTGTGTGTGTGTGTGTGTACGCACGCGCATGTGTAATGAAAACACAAAGACAACAAATATCATATACCATTTCTGCTAACTGATGTCCTTAAATCCTACACACTGGAAATTTAAGGTAAACATTCACAGATATAAATTCAGTCAGCGTATGATGTCAACTAATGAGGAAACAGCAGATATTTATCTAGCAATGAATCAATGAATCTATAGCATATTACAGTCTTTCTGTCTTTTTTTTGCAGCAAAAGCACCTCAAGCATCTGAACCTAGTTGTATATTCGTTTTTATGTACTCCTATGTGAACACACCACTTCCCTGCAGCACAGTCATTACCAGGATTCACAAAGGCAGGCAAATCAGAAAATGTTGCTTGCGCCTGAAAATTATGAGCGTGTACAAACAAGTATATTGAAGTTGAGGTTGAGGTTTTTTTGAAAATCTAAGTTCATACTGAAACTCCAAAACAACATGAAAACAGCTGAATCTCTTCTTATGTTCAGCTGAAAATTGAGAAATGCACTGATTGTCCTGAGTTTTCTGCTCTGTCTGGTGGGCGTGGATGCAAAGTTATGGACGGACTTTCTTTTCACACATCCAGAAGTGTGAAAGGGAACAGCTTCCATCATTCCAGCTGTTTTCCGAATCAAACTTCATTTCCCCACAATTTTCACCACTCCCACCATTAGGCTCCTTAGGACCCCAGTAGCTGAAATGAAAATATATAAACATATTTTTTTCCTTTTAGACAACACACCCAAAGAAACACAAGACAGTGATTTCAATAAAAAAAAAAGTGTGAACCTTTTGGTCACTTGAGTCCCATCCACCCATTTCCATGTCCCCTCTGTTTGTAAGTCAGTCAGGCCAATCCACATGTACTTCTTGAATTGTCTTGTGAAATCCTTGTTTGAGAAGAGAGACACAAACTGTAAACACCATAGCAGAAATTAAACTGATTTCATTGTATCCTCCACCTCACTTAACCCTGCATTCATTCAGTATTTTTCATTTTATTCTACACTACATCTGTCTTACACACAGATGCATGCAGGCACATGCACACACAGACACACAGACACACACACACACACACACAAAACATGGAGTTTAAGTTCTAAGACATGTACCATCTTGCAATTGACCTTTTGCGTAGCCCCACCCCTTTGTGATGGTCCAACAAACCGTCGTAAGCATGGAGCCCTAAATATGTATTCATGACTTTAGTCTGTCTTTTTGATACTGAGACACCTCTCTCTCTCTCTCCCTCTCTCTCTCTCTCTCTCTCTCACACTCTCTCGCACGTGCGCACACACACACACACACACACACACACACCCTCACCTGTTCTTCTTTGCTGTTGATAATCACCAGGTCTGCATCTTTTTGTTGACAGTCTCGTCTGCTCTCTTGCCACGTTTTTTGGTCAGAAGAAATGTGATAGAAACTGCCTCTAAAATACATCCATCGCGCTGGAGCTTTGTGAAAAATAACAACTTTGTTATTTTAGGGAAACAGAGGAACAACTGTAAAGTCAAACATTTGAATGTGACAATAGTCATAAATGTCCCATGAAGCCAACCACAGGGGGATAATATGTGAGTATCCCCAAAGGCAGTCTTTAAATTCTAGAAATCTATTACACCATTCATTTTGCAGCTTGTAGTGTAGTCTCTAGTTTGGGACATATGTTTTAACTTCAAAGTAAAATGGGTTACACCGTACAATTCAATTACAACATGGATTAAAAATTTAACTTAAAATGTACAATTACTCTAAAAAAAATCAAGAGGCCATAAATGAAAGAGGAAGGAGAAATTTGTTTTGATATTTAAAATACAGCACATTGTTTGTGACAGACCACGTGCATGATTACACTGGCATGCACACTTGGTTATCGGTTATAGTTTATAGGTTACAGGCTAATGTGGAACAGACAAGAGCACCAGAAGTGTTTCATGCTTCATTTGCTCGAAATGGGAGTTGCTCCCAGCACCACTTGGTTCTTTGTGATAAGAAGAAGAAAAGATAAGTAAAGAAATGTAAAACAGAGAAGTAAAAAAATGTGCACTTGTATTCACTTCTTCTCTTTGTGTGTGTTCTCTTACTGGTTAAACTTTCAGTATATGGCTTGCTAATCTTATCTTACTATATCTTACTCACTCTGACATCTCTCCACTTTGTGCATGTATAAGTCCTGTTTGTGCATGTGTGTGTCTTTCGGACCTGTGTGTAATTGACAAGCAAGAGTGAAAACATTGAATTTCCCCTCAGGGGGATTAATAAAGTAAATAAACTTAACTTAAACTTAACTATCTTATCTTATCTTATCTTACTATATAATGATGAAAACTGTCTGTGGGTGTGTCTGTCTGTGTGACTGTTCCATGTTTTTCTCCTCACTGACTTGGTCAATCCATGTGAAATTTGGCACAGTGGTAGAGGGTCATGGGAGGATGCGAATGAAGCAATATTACATCAATTGGCCAAAGGGGGGCGCTATAGCAACCGATTGAAATTGCAAACTGTGAATGGGCATATTTCATGCCCCGTATGTCGTAGAGACATGAAACTTTGCACAGAGATGCCTCTCCTCATGAGGAACAAATTTGCCTCAAGAACCCATAACTTCCGGTTATACAGATTTTCCGCCAGTTAGAATTTTTTGAAAAACACTTAAAATCGATCTCTTCCTAGGAAGTTTGACCGATCTGCATGAAACTCGGTGAACATAATCTAGGGACCAATATCTAAAGTTCCCTCTTGGCAAAAGTCGGAAAACTTACTAAAACTGAGCTTCTATAAGCCAATGAATATTGTGGAGGGCGTGGCTCATCACATAAAGGTGTATAACGTCTCAAGGGTTTCACCGATTACCACGCAACTTTGTAGGCATATGACCACACATAATCTGAGGGGACCCCTCCATTATTGATCCCATCAAACAAAATGGGGGCGCTAGAGAGCTAATTTCTTATTTAGGCCTAAGTGCCATATTGATTTTTACTAAACTTGGTAGATATGTAGAACAGGACGCCTCAAGGTGACTGGAGAAATTTAACCCTATGGGCCTGAACGACGCATAGTGCGTCCAAATTCACACCTGTTCTTCTCTATTGATTTTCTCCGTGACTGTGCGTCATAGCGAGAAGCCACACATATCACGTGAAACAGCGGAATTGTAGCTTTCCGACAAGACCACTTGTCGGTAGTCCAATGTTTTCACAGCAAAAAACAATGATAAAGTTAGAAAAAAATTATGTATAACAGAGCTTTCATACAGCTTTGCACACACATTACTCTTGGATGGATTACTCGCAAATGCAGGCTCGCACAGAAATGCCACGCATATCACATGAAAGTGCAGGAGAGCTTTCCAGTGATACCACACACATCATTGTGCTGTCATCCCATCATGCTATAAATCCAGATCAATTGTCTACAAAATAAAAACCTGACGAATTTCTTAACATTCCATTATACAGATCTTGTTATCAGTCAGTTCATATAGTGAGGAATATCGTATCTTACCACGTCTTAGGCTTGCGTGTGTTTCTCCCTGTCTATCCACATTTGTAGTCCGGCTTTCAAGATGCAAATATCTCCATATTGTCCAGTTGACACTCCATCAAACTTTGTATGACAAGACCAGCCACTTCACCTTTGCGCACCCAGACAACTGTAGCCTAATTATACATGCTGACAGGGCCGTAGTCACCATATACATTGAGGGGGACATGTCCCCCCACCAATGCCCAAAATGTCTCCCCAATATATAACTGAAACTGAAAAACAAATATTATCTTGGAGGACATCATTGCACTTGGCTGACTATTTTTCTATGATCTTAGATGTAAATATTGCATGTTTCTTGTGAATGACTTGTGAATGAGTCAGCGGAATTGAAAAAATACTGGCAATCATGTCCGCCTGGCACAAACCACATGTTTTGGACAGCTGTGAAGTGACAGAATGTCCCACCATCATGGTTCTTATAATGCCAGATTCCAGAGAGTCTCCCCTCTTCATATATGGCAGAATATGTCAACGTCCAACTTGCTATGCTGAGATACATGTAAAAATGTAAGAATTTAGTAATACAGATTTGTTTTTTTCATTGATATAAAAATTAATGTAAAATGCAGGCACATAGAAGGACATGAAATGATGGCAAATCTCGATAGCCCACATTGTCCTGAAAACAACAAGATATAGCATATCACAGTCATTATAAAGGCTACATACAGTAGCCTTTATAATGACTGTGATATGAGCTTTAAAGTAAAGGCAGTAAAAATACCCCAAAAACGCCTAGGGCCCATAGGGTTAACTCTAATTGGCAACTGGGTGGCGCTATAACAACAGAAAAATGCTTAAAAATGGCTAAAATGTGACTGATTGCTGTGGCTCCCCCTGTGGCCAAATGTTGTTTTTTTCTAATTTTTGGTATGACTAAATCATGGTATGGTATTCTGTACATAATCATGGAAACTGTCAGTGTGTCATTCTGTCAGTCAGTCAGTCAGTCATTCTACCAGTGCGCCCCACTTTTAAGTCAATACAACATATAAACACTTTAACTATCTGCCTTTCAACGTGCTACCTCAACTACTAATGTATAGTTTTAGCCCACTAACTATCCCACTATTAGCAATCATACAATCAAAAAAGCAATCATACTATCAAATTCACAAAAACTCTGTCTGTATACATTGCTCCTCTTAATGGGTTCAGTTGACTATTTAATCTCCAATTTTCTATGACCTGTATCCCAAACCATAGGCATAACTTTCGGGGTGGGGGGGGGGGGTGCAGGGGACATGTCACCTCCAATATTTAGAAGAGATGAAATTACGCGCATTGCAAGCCTGGAGGACGGGGCTAATGGCTACTCGGACATGGTCGTCGAACTGGGAAAAACAGTGAAATCACTCACCTCCCAAGTAAACCAGCTGGTGGCTAAGATAGAAGACCTGGAATCTAGGCAGCGGAGAGACAACTGCAGAATCATTAGCATGGATGAAGGCTTTGGTGAAACGCAACCAGAGCTTGCTGTTGCTAAGATGCTACAAGATGCGCTAGCCCTCAACTACTCTCCGAAGTTGTACTGGGCTCACAGGAGTCTGCAGCCCAAGCGGAAAGATGGTAACCTGCCTAGACTCATTGTGGTTAAGTTTCTCTACTTCCAGGAGAAGGTGGACGTCCTGCGGAAAGCTGCGGCAGCGGGATCCATCTTCCACAACAGGCGGATCCACATTTACCCCAACTACACACCCTCCATGAGGGTGAAGCAGGCTGCCTTCAATGAGGTCAGGGGGCTGCTGCGCCGCTGCCCCGAGGTCAAGTATGGCATCTCGTACCCGGCTATACTTTGGATAACTACTCCAGGAGGTGAGCAGAAATCGTTTGATAACGCATCAGAGGCCAGAGCCTACGTTATGAGCAACTTACAGCCATGAGATTCGGAGACGGACTGAGTATTATGTGCTCAAAATGGAGCAAAAATAATCGTCTGTTTCCAGCCAGCATGCTAGCATAATAGCTAACCACTATGTCTAACCTGCTAGCCACTGGGCAGCCGGACATTATCTATCAGCATTATATGCCGGATGCTTAGGCACAGACACTCACCTAATGTGTCTCCGTCCCCCACAGTGTTGAAATGAAAGTTACACTCATGTCCCAAACACACACCATGTGAAACTGTATGTGGGCAACTGTGCACTCAATGGGTATGGACTAGTAATTAGTATTTTTGCAGTATAAAATATAGGTTATTCATGAAATCTTGTATAAAAAATGAGTAAGACAGCTGAAAGAAGTGCAGGAGAGACAGAGCCCTCTACCTCCACAACAGCCAAATGAGCAGCAGCAGGAACGAGATGGAAAATTTGGGCAGGTTAAAAAGTTGCTTGGGTTGTCCAGCATGTCAGCTACTTATGAACAACCATTTTTCTCTTCTGTGTTTTTAATTTACAGCAGTGAATCATCAAAAGCTAAAAGTCTTTTTGTCGCTGACAGGAATCCACCATATGCAACATCATTATTTGTCCAATATTGTATTTGTACCCCTTTGGATGATTAATTAAAGTTTCATCCTCATACTCACATAATTTTTCCAGTTCCATCCGGCATCCTTGGATAGCTCTGTTCAACTTGTCTCTCTCTTCAGTCAGGGAATTTTGCTGTGAAACTGTCATTTTGAGTGAAGAAATCAACATGAATTTCAACAGAATCATAGTAGCTTGTATGGTTAAATTTAATGTGAAGACAAACTTCTTGCATTTTCTACAAAACAAAGAGCCAAGGTGGTATCTACTAACTATAACACCAAACTATAACACGTCAATATTTAACTTGGAACTTTTTATGTAAAATGATCAGTTTTATTTGCCAAAAATTGGACTTGCACCCTTTGGGATCCAAACTTTGATTATTGATTTCATTATTATGCTCACCACAGTCATTCAGC